GTTCAGACTTAGAACCGTGACAATTTGAGAGTCCTGAGCTGTAGTGACCCCAAATGAACGGAACGGGAGCTCGTTTCTCCCGGGGCATTCGGGGACGTCTACAGCAACTCCATGGTCATTGGTTGGTTTATTGTAAATAAGTCTCTGAGTCTACGGCTGACTGGAAGACTGCGCTTGTATTGAGTGATTGCTAGGTTTGTTGGGCAATCAAGAATTTCGTTGAATGTTTTCTAATACCTAGTGTTGTACATCTTCAAGGAGTTGTCCGTTTCCATCTTGATTTCCAGAAGGTGGTCGACTTGTTTGGGTGTTTTGGTGTTGGTCTTAAAGCGTGTCACGAATGCCTCCACCAATTGTTGCCACCTCTCGATACTTTCCTTAGGCAGCCTCTCGAACCATTTCAGGACCAACCTGCCCAAACTTGATAGGAAAATCAGGCACATGAGCGCATCGTTTCGCCTGTGCCTAGCCATAACTTGCCGAAAGTGGTTTACGTGCATGTACAGATCAGTCTTTCTGTCATAGAGCGTAAACTTGGGCTGGTGGAAGCCAGTAGGAAGCAGGATGCTTTCTATCTCTTGTATTGCATGCACCGGGCTCCCATACAGTGTCCTCTACAACGTTATGACACCACCATTCAGTGTCTTCACCAATGGTCTGACACGACCATACAGTGTCTCCTATCCTCTTTTATTTTTATGTTATTTTCTTGTTTTGTTCCTCTCTTCAAACTCAAGTTGGTTAGTTTCTATCCTCCTTGAGTTTGCGGGGGGCTGTTAAAATTTACCATCACCTACCACCAATTTACCATCACCTACCACCACCTACTCCTCACCTACTCCTCACCTACTACACTCACCCTCTCCTATATAATGAGCCACTCACCATTTGTAATATACATCAATCAATAATACAATTCTCTATTTCTCTTTATACATCAATTGTAACAGAAACATTCCTCATGTGGTAAGACTACAACACTTATTGTTTATGTAGATGACATAGTTCTTACAGGCGATGATAGTGAGGAAATACCTCTATTGAAGAAATATTTAGCCTGTGAGTTTGAAATCAAAGACTTGGGAAGCTTGAAGTATTTTTTGGGAATTGAGTTGTTCGCTCCAAGAATGGGATATTTATCTTATAGAGAAAGTATGTGCTTGACCTGTTGAAGGAAACTGGGATGCTTGATTGCAAGGCCTGTGACACTTCACTGGAAACCAATTAGAAATTGGGAAAAGATGAAGGAGGAGAAGCTGTTGATAGGGGGAGCTATCAGCGATTAATGGGTAAACTCATTTATTTATCTCACTCTCATTCTGATATTGCTGTTGCTGTTAGTGTGGTTAGCCAATTTATGCATGCTCCTTATCAGATTCACTTCGAGACTGTCATGAGAATTTTGAGGTACTTGAAATCTGCTCTTGATAAGGGTCGTTATTTTTCGAAGTATGATAATTTTCGTGTGGGAGTTTATGCAGATGCTGACTGGGTTGGATCAGTAACTAATAGGAGATCGACTTCAGGGTATTGCAGCTTTGTTGAAGGCAACCTAGTTACTTGGAGGAGTAAGAAACAAAATGTAGTTGCCAGGTCAAGTGCAGAAGCTGAGTTTAGAGTTATGACACAAAGGATGTGTGAGCTCTTATGGATCAAGTTATTGTTGAGTGATCTAGGTATTGATCAGACGGAGTCCATATGGTTATACTGTGATAATAAAACCGCTATCAACATCGCTTACAATCTGGTTCAACATGACAGGACAAAGCATGTTGAGATTGATCGCCACTTCATTAAGGAGAAACTCACTAGTGGCACCATATGTACTCCCTTTGTGCAGTCTGGTGAACAACTTGCTGACATCCTCAGTAAGGGAGTTGGGAGTACGCCATTTCATAACATCTTAGGCAATCTGGACATGAGAGATATCTTCGCACCACCTTAAAGGGGAGTGTTAGCATAATATATTATTATTTGAGTTATTATTTTGTAATTATTCTATGCCTTAGGACTTCCTTGTAATTATTAATCTTCATTAATATAAATAGGGGATGATATCTTAATCATTCCCTAATCTCGAATTTTCTAAAATCATCAATAGGTTCAAATATGATGGCAACAACTTTGTGCAAATTATGCCAAAGGTAAAGTATGTACCTAATCTACTCCTCTCAGATACCATCCAATGGAACTAAACTGGGCGTACTTTTAGTTTTATTGGACTGATCTATTACTTGTCTAAATACACCCTCTTGATGTTTGATTATACTTCAGTTTGATAAGTTGTATATTACTTGGCTAAAGAAAACCTCTTGATGGTTGATTGTAAATTGCTTTCTCATCTAGATAGGAAAATCACTAGTTAACCGCTTTACACGCGACATTTCAATTGAAAAACTCTTCAAATTTTTTTGATCAGGAGCTATGTTGTCCCCATAGTGTCATTTATGATGTGGGAAAAAAAAAAGCTCCTATTGAAAGGGATTCTTCTTTAACCAATCATACTATTATAGAAAAATAGAATTGTAAGCCATACTACAAACTCATGTACTTCGATGTAATTACTCTGATATTGTATCAAAATGATGAAGATAGTTCGTAACAAGATGTCCTGCTGTGATTAGTCATTGTTTGAAGGCACAAGAAGTTGTAAATGCTGAGACATAAGCTCCTAATGTACCTTGTAAAACCAAGTCTTGTGGCCATTTTAACTCATTCTTTGTTGAAGTTGCTTTCTCAACCATCAAAAAGTAGTCAAAATAAGTTATTTTATTTCTTGCTCTTATATGTGGTGTTATTTCTCTCTTGGTTCAAAGCTTTACTTACACATATCTGCTGTGTACTTTTTAGGTCATTGGATTTAATAATGTTCCAATTGCTGGCGATGACTTTGAGGTTGTTGGCTCCCTTGATGTTGCACGTGAAAAGGCAAAGGCACGTGCAGAGTCATTGCGAAATGAACGTATTTCAGCCAAGGCTGGGGAGGGGAAGGTTACACTTTCTTCCTTAGCTTCTGCAGTTTGCAGTTTCATCGAGAGTACAGTCTGGATTAGACTTGCACCAGCTGAATATCATTTTGAAGGTTGATGTTCAGGTATCTTTTTCTTTCTTCCGCACCCCTTTTTTTTTGGGATAGGCCTGAGTTGAGGAATCTGTATCTGTCGTAATTTTGAACAAAGATATGAAGAAACAAATTAACAAATGAAATTGAGTAAACTTTGGACAAGCTATGCCCGATTCCTCTCTCTAGAATGATCCAATTCATAGCAAAGTCCCTCAAGAAATGGATATGCCATGTAGCATATCCACCTCATAAATTCATGAAGGAAAAATATTGGGACCCTTAAAAAGCCTCCCCTAATTTTACCCACAATGACATGGCATGGTAAATGTCAACTTTTGATTTATCACAAACTTTAACCACGTAAAACCTTGCTATGTCATTATGGGTGAATTGAGGGTGTCTAGCATTCCTTAAGAAACAATATGCCATTATACTCAATAGACCATTGGACTTAATAGAGTGGTATTAATCCACAGATTAAAGTATTCATAATGTTTTGAAATGGACATATTAAGCTCAAACATTTTGAGTGACTTAGATCAATTCATGCACATTGAATACAAAATTATGGAAATTTTACTTGTCTGGCCTTTTACGATATCTTATGATCTAGCAAGAATTTAACCAATTTGAGTTTTCTACTATGTCAAATGTAGTTGACTATTGCAACATTATTAATGTCCATATGTTGTCGATGTAAATTTGTAGTGATTACATGTACGAGCACACTTGTCAGTCAACATTTCCTGTATCATGTTGGATGCCTCGATACAATTTAATTATTCATTCATCCTGGAGTTTTGTGTCCCTGCCATTAAGTTGAAATCTCTTTATCATAACTAGGGAACTATAGAAGCTGTAAGACAAGCCCTGCAGATGCTCCCACAAGAAAATGTCACTTTGAAATTCCTCTTGCAAGTGACCGGGGATATAAGCTCCAGCGACATTGATCTTGCATTTGCCAGTAAAGCCATTATTCTGGGATTTAATGTCAAAACACCTGGTTCTGTTAAGAGCTATGCGGACAACAAAGGTGTTGAGATTCGGCTGTATAGAGTTATCTATGACCTTATTGATGATGTGAGGAAGGCTATGGAGGGACTTTTGGTGCCTGTTGAGGTTAGTTTTGTTCACGTCTATCGGCTTTGATTTTTCATCGCAATTTATCTGGAAAATGAATTGTGGTGCATCTCTCTTCATGTTTCTGGTACACATTGCATGTGGGTGTCTATTGTGGCCTCAAGGTTCATTTAACCCTAAAATCGTAGATGTAGATCTTTGTCACTGGTGTTTCATTTAAGATATTTATGTAACAATTAATATATTAGAGAACATCACCAAAAAAAGAGGAAAAATAACTAAAAAATTGAAAGTCAGGTACATTTGGAGACTGTGTTCCTCTTTTCCTTTTGGTTGACATGCCTTTTTGGTAATAAATATGTGACCGACCATAGGCATATTTCAAATTCCTTATTTTCTTGTGTTGACCATGTTTTCTTCCATCTTATGTTTTACTATATTCTTTATCGAATTGTGAACTTAAAACAGTTTCCTCCTTATCTTTTCTATAGATTGCTGTAAGAAAGTGTATTCATGCAAGAAGTTTTAAGGCTTTGCTGTTTTTTTTTTTTTTTCTTTTCCCCCTTAAACCATTTTTATTTTTAATTTGTGTAAATTACAAATACATCCCCTGAGATTTGCTTAAAAACGATTTGTCTCATGTAGTTTTGGAAATTACATCCCGCCCCTTGAAGTTTCTAATTTCATAACAAATGACTCCTTTTATGAATTAATCATCAAGTCAATTAACAGTTTTTAATGATGTCAGAAATTTATTTCAATTAATATGACATGTAATTTTATTATTGTATATGAGAGCAATTAGAAATTTCATTTTTTCAGTTAATTTTGTTAAATAATAAAATTTGACAAGGGAGTATTTGTAATTTTTCAAACCACATGACAATCTGTAATTTAAGCAAACTAGTACATATATTTGGCCTTTCTTGTCCTTGTTGCTATATGTTTGAGCTTGCTTGATGCATGTTGTTATCTGGTTCTTGGTCATTTCGACTTCTTATTTGTTATCTGGTTCTTTGTCATTTGGTTGGTTCTTGTTCTTGATACATGTAGATTCCCATTCACTTGCGATGTAGAACTCACTGTAGTATTGACATGTAAATGTTATAAGAGTATGATAGGAAAGCAAATGTACAAGTTTTTTCACCCCTTCGTTTAGTAGATAAAGTGATACATAATATACAGGAAAATCTCATTTGGAGAATTGCTGTTTGAAGCTTGGAGTGGGATACATATTATGTAGGGATTGGGCAATCTTGTCTTCATATCGAGTGGGATGTAGACCTTCTTGGATATATGAGGTTGTGAAGTGCTTCCCTTGGTGGCTTCTTAGCATGTAGGAATCATGCTTGGTAACTGCCATAATAAAATACCAGTGAGACAAAATGAACGAGGCTTGTGGGACCCCCATTCAGGTGTGCGAGTCTTATGTGATTCGTTCTATGTTCCTAGCAAAATTTATGACTGCCGTGATGATTGTATAAATGTTCAATGCATGGCCATTTGCTTATATCATAGTATCAACTTGGTTTCAGAAGTAAATTCTGTAAAGTGATTGGATACTAGGCAACTACCTTTTTATGATATGCAACTTTCTTGGATACTTAGCAGTAATCACCTATGAAGCACGGACACCCAAAACAGCTGATGTAGGCTTGTAGCAATGTCAGACGTGCCGGGAACATGTACGAAACACACCAGTTGGCATGTCTTTTTATTTTTTGGGGGACACCCTGACGACACTCCACGGCCATGCAAACTAGTTTTTTCCCTCTATTCTTTGGTGCTTTTTGATGGATGTTGGATGTTTATTACTTTTTTTTTTTAAAATCTTTTTTTATGGGTTATCTATTAATTATTTAAATCTAGTGAGTTTTTTTTTTAATTTTTTTTAATATATATATTTTTATATATTGAATAATTGAACTTGTGTTAGCTTTTGTTAATTTGTTTATTTATTTATTTATTTATTTATTGTGGATAAATTTAGTTTTTGTTAAATTTGGTTGTTTATGGATACAATATTAATATACATAGCAAATACAAATATAAAAAAAAATATATATATATATATATTTTAATTGCAGTATCTGTGTCCTTGTCCGGTAATCACTTTTTTGTCCATTGATGGCTTACTAATATTAGAAGCCTCAACCAATGGCATGGTGGTTCTGTCGCCCATTGAAATTAATGTCATATTTCTTCTACCAATACTGGACACCACTCTTCTTCTCATTCCATTGTCTTGTTCATCATTTTTATCTTCTTCTTTCATGACAGATAAGTTGTCCTCTCAACAGGTAAATGCTGGACTGGAGTGCGGAATTGGGATGGACGACTTCGGTGATTGGGAGGAAGGGGATATTCTTGAGGCTTTCAACGTGGTGCAAAAGAAGCGGACGCTTGAAGAGGCATCAGCCACAATGGCAGCTGCACTTGAAGGAGCGGGAATTAAACTATAACTATATGGCTCCGGCTGATGCTTATTTTTTGTGTGTGGATCAGATGGCTGTTGGTCATTTGTCCACGTGTTTTTGTCTCATGCAGAGGTGAGGTACGATCCGTTCCCGGTATTTTGACATAACTCAGTAAATGTGATATGGATGAGAACCCTTTGATTTCAATCTGTCCCTAAATACTTGACGCGGAGGGTATAAGCTGACAAGAGTCTTGGTACATTTTTGTATGCTATTTCGCTGTAAATAGTAAATTATATCAGATTTCATCGCTGTAAATAGTAAATTATATTTTTTTGTAATAGGAACTCGGGCCATTCATTTAAATGATATGAAGATTCAAGTATGTTAACATTTGTATCGGTTAGAGTTAACTAGCGATGGCCACGGGACACGTTTGAAGCGGGTTTGTCATTTTTCGCCCCCGCCCTTGCCGACAAACTCCACCTCCGCTACGGGTGGAATTTTTCAACTCCACCCTGCCTCTGCGGATACTTGATATTCGCAGATATCTGATCATATTTTTAGCATACTAAATAATTTTTTTATTAATTTTCATATATGTATATAGTGTGACTTTTGAGATTATTATTTATTTATATTTAAATAAAATTATAGATTTTTAATATTATTTTCTTATATCTAATTATATTATATATACACATTATTAATTATATCGGGTTTGGATTGGGGGAAGTGATACTCGCCCCCGCCCCCATCCTGGTCCCTGTCCCACCCCCATTGTGGGTGACCAAAACATAATCCACTCCCGCCCCACAAAAGTGTGGGATGGGTAAAATCCACCTTGGTTGGATGGGTATGGGTGGCCCCTGCGGATCGGATTAAATGGGTCATCTCTAGAGTTAACAGTTGCACACGGAGAAATGTTGGGAAAAAAAAGAAGAGTTAATCAAATATTGATAGCTACGTAATCAGAGTACATTTGTCTTTAAAAACATGAATGATAAATATAATTTTAAGAACATATTGTTAATTTTGATTAAGATAGATATCATCCGATCATATGACAATTAATACCATATCAATTTAATTTTTGGGTAAAGTACTATTAAATCTTAAAATGTGATTTTATGAATTATTTAGTTTTTCTTTTTTTTCTTATAAACTCAAAAGTCCCATTAAAATGAAAATTACACAAAAAGGTGAGACTTACATGTTTGAATTTAACACATGTGGACACTATAGAGGTTTTGAATTTTTTCTCATTCTAAAACAAATCTTATATTATGAATAAAAATGTAACACTTCAATATAATACTCCAATAACGTAACACTTTTATGTAACACACTAAAAAATTTCTTGGTCTATTTTTCTCAAACGTAACACTCTAAAAAAATTTCTTAGTGTATTTTTTCCAAACGTAACACTCCAATGTAGCATATTAAAAAAATTCGTTAATGTACTTCTCTCAAACGTAACAATGTAATATTCTAAAAAAATTCGTTAATGTACTTCTCTCAAACGTAATACTCTAATGTAAAATACACAAAAAAACTCATTATTGTACATTTCTCAGACATAACACTCCAATATAACACACAAAAATACTAAAAAACTCTCAGTGCACTTTTTTTTTCAAACGTAACATTTATAGTTTGAAATTATATATTTGCTCAAAAGTTATTAAGAAATTTGTGTACTTCTTTTGAAATGGTTTGAAGAATCCTATATCCTTTTTTTGGAGTGTTGGAGTGTTCTGTGTGAAAAAATATACTAAAGATTTTTTTGTGTGTTACATTCGAGTCTTACATTAAGAAATTTTTTTAGAGTGTTATATTAAAGTGTTACGTTTGAGAAGAGTATACTAAGAATTTTTTTTTAGAATGTTACGTTTGAGTGTTATAGTTTTGAAACTATACATTTGTCCAAAACTTACTAAGGAGTTTTTGTACTCTTTTTAAAATATTTAAAAAATCCCACATCCTTTTCGAATATTTAAAAAATCACATATTTCAAGTCATTTTTGTAGTCTTTTTAAAATGTTTTTTAAATATAAAATATTCCCATATAAAAATCCATCCTAAATTTGATTTACATAGATTGTGTACTTTACCTTTTCAGTACAAAAGAAAAAAGAGAGAAGGAAACCTAATAGAAATAAGTGTAAAACCGTAAATTAAATTTTCAAGTAATATATTAAATCTATCTTTCCAAAATCAATGAGACCAATTGGTTTACAAAAAAAAATCCTTCGAACTAAATGAATCACCACTTCTCAAAATGAAATTTATAAATAAATTTTTCTTAATTTTTTATATAAATAATCTCCTTGGCAAGTTTAAGCAAGTTTAAACGATGAACTATTTAAATCATAAAAATAAACCCAAAATAGGGCCCACCGGAGGGTACAACATGACTGGTTTTTCTGGTAAAATGGGCAACAAAATCAAAATCCCAATACTTTGAAGAAATAGTGAAAATGGCTTAAAGGCTAGGAATCTTCTCAACAGCACGATGTGGTGATGAGAGTTCTGACAGTAAGTCTAGAAACTCTAAAAGTTTTATTAAAATTTTTACCAAATATGTCATATGGGTGTGAAACCCACACCATGTAAGTCCCATATGAATTTCACACCTATGTAAGATATTTGATAAATATTTCAATATTACTTTTGAGATCTCTAACATTTTCGTTTTAATAAACCTTCTATTTTCACACATCCATATTTAAGAGCTGAAACAGTTGCTTTCCAGCTTAAAAGTCCATTGGTATCCGGTATGTTCACAATTTAGTGGGTCATTGTAGAAATGGACTCCAACCTTTGTTGACAGTTTTTCCAATAATGCTACAGAAAATTGACAACACTTCGAAAATACAAAACAATTTGTATGGGCAAATGCTAATGTGAAAATTGTTCAGATCCAACACTACTCGCGTTTCGTCCTCCTCTATAAATGTATGCATTTATATTCCTTAAAAAATTATGTTTCTCAAACCCTGATGTAGACTCTTCAAGGTCAGTTTGTCTTGATGCTTTACATTGCCTTCAAAATTGATGTGAGAATATTACTAGATGTTGTGTCATAATGGCAGCTTCACCAACCTGAAAATGTCATTTCTGTATATATTTAGATTAGATGTATCCACGTTTGTGGTAAAATAAAATAAATGAATTGCACGCAACAGAGTAGTAAGTACCGAAGCCCAATCAAGGAGTCCCAGATTCTTCGCCATGAACTAATTTCTTGTGCAGTTGCTTTAGAAACCAGCCCTCCCATGATATTCTCAGTCGAAGAGCCCATTTCGTTGACAAGTTTAACAGATTCAGAGAGTCGATTGAGCAGGTTTACCAAAGCAATTACTTCATTTCTTTGCAGGTGCAGCTGTAAAGACCGGTTACAACAACTTGAGAGAGAGATGAACTCACAAAAACTATGAACTGCTAATGGAATAAAAGCAAGATCTTAATTGGAGAGTTGCTCATTAAAATGAACAAAAGAAGAGAGAAAAAAAAGAAATTGCCAGAGATACAGAAACTCACAATTTGATCGGGGTAGTTTTGATCATTGACAGAGAAGAGGATCTTTAAAGCAGTACCGAGACCAAGAACCTGCAGCTTTCCCCAAAGACGACACTTTTCACATCCCACACAATCCATGAGGGCACTGCAAAATTTAGAATTACAGAGAGAATCAAATTAATATACAAACAACCAATTAAGACTTAATAAAATAGTTAAATAGAATTTAACATTTCACAATGAAATATTTCATTTATTACTAGATCACACGTCATTTCAAGTGATATTAAGAGGGCATTAATAAAAAATACAGTATTGGAGGTCCTGAAACACATAGGGCTCATTTTTCGAAAAGTATAGAAAACATGTTTAGCAAACTGTTCCCAAAAAACTATTTTGGAGAACTTTTTTTCTTCTTCTTTTTTTAAAAAATACACTTTTTAGGAAACAACAAAAAGTTGTTTTGTTTTGTTTGAAAACGATGTGAAAACAATGGCATTTTCAAACTTTTCATTGTTTTTGTTTCTAAAAACATGAAAAATGAAAACAAAGAAAAATAGAACACAACCAAACAGGGCCATTGTAATCTGGAATTTAATTTCTTTCATTCATTAATTTATCTAAGCAAAAGAGACAGTAAAATATCAGAGAAACCTAATGTTTCTGAATTGCTTTTGAATCTGCCGCTTCAGTTCAGGTTCACTTTGGCCTTGCCACATTTTAGCTTCATCAAATGGAAGAGGACATGCAGCTTGCAGTTTGGGGTTGTAAAGTAACTGACGCATCATAGACTGTGCTTTCAGGTCCTCAGCATGGTTACCGGTATCATACTCAGCTTGCTCCAAGTAATCAGCTGCCTTTGAAACAATTAAAACAAAAACAAATAATCTTAGGAAAATGTCATTGTGAAAATAATAATGATTAAAAAACAGTGTAAGTACTCACTTTTGTCACAGCTCGAAGAACAAAGAGGAAAGTGAAGTACAAGTTTCTGACACGATCGGGGTATCTCAAAACACGATCATGCATCAATTCAAGATTTTTACCCCACTGCAATTGCAGCAAAGGATTGTTAGATTCTTGTCAATCTATGAATGAATTATACAAATTGGCCCATCATCATTACTGAAAGTGTGATCCATCTACTTATCAACAGAAAATCATTGAATCAGGAGGCCAAAGGTCCTTATTATCTTTAATTAAATGGTTCCAAGTTCCCTACCTTGCAAATATGCAAGATACTGACTAAAAAGATAGGCCGCTAGTCTTTCATTAACTAGACAGAAATAAATTTTCGAAAAGCTTCCTAACAAAGTTAATCTTCTTTTAACTTTTTACAAAAAAAATTAGGGTGAAGCTCCAGGAAATATATCAATTCTTTTCACTTGAGCTTGATGATCAACAAAAAAAACCCACTCCTATATACCTTTTAATTTATTTATCTTTCATAAGAAGTTAACATGAAATTAAACTCCACCAAAAGAAATATTAATCTAGGCTGTCTAGAGTGGCATCACATTAATTTCACAACTCATAAGGAAGTTTAAAAGAAAACAAAAAATGATGTGTCGAAAGGAATGAGTCGGAGTGAGAACCAGATTGGTAGATTCATCAAGGAGATAATCAGCAGCAATGTGGATTGAAATTGAGGAGTGAAGACCAGATATTAATTTGTATAAGACTTTTTTCTCCTGGCAAATCTCCCCCGAAGAATCTGCACCAAGAAACATAAAAACTGTAACTCGAAATTCCATCAACAACAAAAGGACATATATTAAAGGTTCACAAAGCCACTATATAATAATAAAATGTGACTAGAAATAAACTACTATATAATAAATAATAAAAAAAATGTGACTCAAAATCCATCACAACAGAAGGCCATGTATGCACAAAACTACTATACAATAATAAATAAATAAACCAAGTCAGAGAGCTATAACATGATACTAAGCAAAAATATATAAAACACAGTCAGGGAGAGAGCATCAATGAAGAGATGGCTAACACAGTTATAATGACAAAATTAAAATTTTATTTTTTGAGCTGCTAATCATGGCCAGTATTAACTAAAAAGTAGTAGGGTCTCCATTCTATCTACACCCATTTTATTGTTGAGGAATTAGTCCTGCCTCTGTAGCATGACCACTTCTACACCAGTGAACTATCATGTTAAAGATCTAATAAGTAAGGTGTACTTGTTCTTCAGCGGCATCTAAGGATTTTGACACCCTCTGTTGAACTAAGGATTGTGTTGGCTCTACAAAAAATAACCTCTAAGATTAAGCAATTTAACATCCTTTTGATTACATTGGTGGTGACACAGAGCGTATTCTAAACTCACATTTTGGACAATTTTCCGAATATACAGCATCCCAAATCCTTCTGGCGGACGGACCAGCATAGCCGGTATAACGTTCAGGATTCAATTGGAGATTTACATATGTCATCTCACCTGCGGATAAAATTCATCAGTCAATCTCTGCAAACTTCTCTCAACAAGCAATATATTCAAAGGAATGAACAAATTTCATATCCTAGAAGGAAAATATGGCATTAAGGGAGATTCATAATCAAAATCAACAACACCTTAATTTTTACAAATGCAATCTTCCAAGATCACATTAATCTCATGCGAATTATAAGATGGCAATTTAGCTAACAGTTGTTTATTTTCTTGAGGATCATGCAACTTGTTTTCCATTAAAAAATAAAATAAAATCTGATTCGTGGTTGTCTGATCCTTAGTTCCAACTTTTCTTCTCGAAATGGCAAAACAATTACAGATCAGAATCGTCTGGCAACCAACCAACGAAGAACATATTCAACATCATTAAGGGATAGAGGCAATTACTGTTGTCTGTCTCATCATCATTGGTCCAGGGGTTATCTACTTCCATCCAGCCTCTAAAAGCTTTACTGTCTAGTGTGCGGTCAACAGTAGCCTGTGGCTTTCCCTCTTGACATACTAAATCATCAGACGGAAGACCGCGTGGTGGCTTCTTAAAAATTTCTGGAAACTCAGTTTCTGGACATTCACAAACACTGCAATCGCGCAAGCGGCACATACCATCTTCAGGCCAGAAAGGGCAGTCACACCACAACTTTACCTGCCAAAGGGAATAAACATGTTAGCTTCAAGGAATCACATACAAGTGATCCAATATTCTAAAAACACAATGTTTCCTACAGAGAAATACTCCATCTTTAAGTTTAAATGGCAGAGAATGCGAGTGGACACCTTTTCTAAGAGTAGGAATGTTATCCAACACGTGGCATCAAGAAAAACTTTGGGGTAGAACACATGAGAATGATATAAAATGCTAGATCATAGGAATTGTCTCACAATTAATAACAATAAGACATGTGAAGATGAACCTGGTTTCTACCTTGAACACCACAACAACTACAATATGCTAATTTTGTTTTCAGCCTTGTTTTCAATTGCAGTAAATGGAGAAATTAGACAGATGATCCATTTTCCTCTGTTGATAAACCAAACCAAACCAAACCAAACCTTAAGTCTTATCAAATGGGGTCGACTATATGAATCATTCTTCTTCACGCAGCTCTATCAAAGGCCATTTCGTTAGTCAAATTAAGTAGATTCATATATCTATTTACTACACTAGCCAACGTCAATCTAGGTCTACCCCCTCCCCTAACACTTCCATCTACCGCCACTGCATCGCATCTCTTCACTACTGCCTCTGTTGGTCTCCGTTGAATATGACCAAACCATCTCAATCTATTCTCTCTCAAGTTATTTGCTATCGGTACTACTCTTACCCATTCCCGAATATACTCATTCCTAATTCTGTCTTTTCTAGTCTTGCTACACATCCACCTCAACATCCTTATCCCAGCAACACTCATCTTATCTACATGTTGTTTCTTGGTTGCCCAACACTTCGTTCCATACAACATCGCTGGTCTAATAGGCATTCTATAAAACTTTCCTTTTAGTCTAGTGGTTCCTCATTTATCACACAGTACCCCAGACGCACATCTCCACTTAAGCCACCCCGCCTTAATTCTATGAACCACATTCACATCAATCTCCTCCGCTGTTGTGATAATCGACTCTAAATAACGAAAATGTTCACTCTTAGGTAGTTCTTGGTTCTCAATCTTCACTTTTCTTTTGCTTTCATTGTTACTGTTACCAAATTTACATTCCATGTATTCTATCTAGGTTCTACTTATCCGAAATCCTTTAGATTAAAGTGCTTCTCTTCAAATCTCCAATTTTGTGTTAACTCCATTTTCCTCTATCATGTAAATGATTGAATCCAAAAAAATTGACCTTGCCATAGATCCTCATACTATTCATTAACTTCATTAAGCTTAAAAGCATAATGTACCAACAAAGGTGTCGAACAATCCCAAAGTTGGCGGTTGTCTATGCCTATCAATCCTATTAATTGAGGGCATTGGTTCTGACATAAGTTGATTGTTTTCTCTCTCACCATGTCATGACACTACATTTGAATCAGGCAAATATTCCCAAACACGTTGGTAATCAACAATTACCACCTATAAGGGTTCGGTATAATCGGGTAGAATCATGGGCCAATCCCTTGACAATCACCATGTCATGACACTACATTTGAATCAGGCAAATATTCCCAAACACGTTGGTAATCAACAATTACCACCTATAAGGGTTCGGTATAATCGGGTAGAATCATGGGCGGGGGGGGGGGGGTGTTTGTTCGCTGGAGACTGTCACAAATACCTTGTGTTCTCCTTGAAACTATTATTCCAGGGAAACTAACAAAAGCACATTGAAGAAAATTATAGTATATTGAATATTCTACGATTAGAAAAAAGTAACATCATGACCTCGAATCCAATCCAAATTTCTTGTCTACACCGAATCCCCCCCACCCTGCCCCCAAACACAAGGGGAAATAGAAAGGAAGGAAGGGAAGGGAGAAAGACAAGGGAGTTGAACTTTACCAAAGTTTATTTTGCGAGCATAGTCAATCAGAAACTAGTGGCTCAATTGAGATATAGTAGATGAGATGTGTTTCCGTCTTCATATCCTAGGGCTGAAGATGCCTACACCATATTGGGGATTTCAGAAATTATTCTGCGAGGCAAAGTGCTTTCAAAGTTTTTTCCCCCCTCTTGACCCAAGGAAATGAGCTTTACAAATCATCAAATGGTTTTTGACGTATGTCCTCCATATCATCAAGAGTTGTCATCTTTAGAAGCATGTATTTAATCTTAGAGATCACCTACCTAGAAGCCGAACCACCTAGTCAAAGAAGAATGCTCAATAAGAATCTTATATTTGAGTAGTTTTGTTAAATCCAACTTTTCCTAGTTGGCATTTTGCATTTTTGTCCCATCTTTTTTAATAGAGTTTTAATTCCTACATATTCAGTTTTGCCAAATTCTCTTAGGCATAATCCGCACCAGCTTTGTCAATGCATGTTTAATGAATCATAACAAGTTATCAAGTAACCAATGACTTTTGGCAGCCGTGCCAGAGAGAAAAACTATGCTTTACAAAAGCATATTAACCATGACTAGCAAGAGCAAATGTGGCTTCTGCAGAATCAACAAGTCATTAAAAAGGAATTAGAACCCAACAATTCAATTTATATATCTCATCAATAAGCAGGTATACCTCCAAAATGACAAGAAACAACATCAATTAAGCAAATAATGAACTCATTCGACAAAATTTATAAAATTCAACACTAGAAAAATGGGATAATAATAAAAAATAAGTGAAACTTGGTGATCATTAAAGAAAATTCATCCACTTCAAGCCAATGACAATTTGTACCAGACCTTGAAATATCGGAAAAATGGAGTTGTGACAAGCTCTTGGAGCAAAGGATGCAGCACTTCTGCATTAATACTGTCTACCGTCTCGTAATCACAACAACAGTCCTCCACCATGCCTGTATATTTCCGTGAATCCTGCACCAAAACCAAAGTTAAAACCAAGTCATTCACTACAACTTCCAAATCGCTTGTATTTCTTTGTATTTCTAAGAGGATCATTCTTGCGTTACTTATATTTATTTGTACTTCTAACCAAATCATTAGTTTGGCCCTTTTTGTAGACCATACAGTACAAAATCAATAGTTAATTCTAAAACTTCAACCAAATACCAAACGCACCATCAAACCTACTCTAATTCATCATGTATAAATAGTAGGAATTCCATGGAAATTGAAGCAACTCTTCGTATTTTTCTGCCTACCAAATGAAGCATCCTTCCAAGGATGGACCTAGAGGGGGGCAACATTTTATTTATATATACAGTGATACTACATGAACCAATTAGTATACCAACATATGTTATAATATATATATATTTTTTTGATAATTACCAATATATGTTATAACATTGTCACTTCAAAACTATGGACTCCACCCATTATACAAACTATAAAGACTCAAAGCCTCTAGGATTATATCATCCATTAGTACACGAATTTTCGTGATATTTTTCACATTTTATATCTATACAATTATTAAGTGAAAGCTTAAATTGGTTTAATGAAACTTTCTCTCCTCATGCCACGTGACAACTTTATATATACTAAAATAAAAAAATTATTATACACAGTGTAAGTAAGCTATGAACCAAGGCTTCGGTTTCATTAAAAGCATAATTATCACTTAAGTAACATATATATTATGATAATAAATTCTTTATTATTTCTCTTTATTATTGTGCAATTTGCTCGTATAAATTATACTTTCCTTTTAAAATTTTTGTTAGTATATATGTTGGCCTAGAATTCTAAGTCCGTCCATGCATCCATCATTTCTACGGTGAATTCTTAGACCATTTTCTAAGAAGGTGAGTGAACAATTAAAATGAGTATCAAATTCCAAACAACAAAAATTAGTTCCAATAATCATTTAAAAAAGAAGAAGAAGAATCAATTACAATTATTCAAGCAAAGTTCTGGTCAACTAAGTTGAAATGATAATGCGACTCCAGAGAGAGAGAGAGAGAGAGGAGAGAGAACCTTAGAACAGGTGCAGGAGTTGTGATCATTGAAGAAGAGAGAGATCTTCTTCGGGGAATGTCTGGAGGAGACTGCTGTAGCGACTAACACAGCGACCACCGCCCCCAAAACCCATCTCCACCTCTTCCAACTCCGATTCTTCTTCCCAATCTCCGCTTCCACCATCACCATATATCAAAAATTCAAAACCCTTGGATGAAATTCTCAGAATGCAATGTGCATACATATAGAATAGAGACACAAATCGATACCAATTATACACAATATAGGACCGTGATTGCTGGCTTTGTGTTGAATTGTTAAAGAATTGTCTTTGATTCAACACAAAACAACAATACAGAGATTCAGAGAATATGAAGAATATGTAGACCAGACAAGACAAGCCCTTTTTTGTATCTTTTTCTGGGATGCTTCGCTTTCGTGGGGGTTCGAACTTGCAAACGGTATTTTGTCAGGGCCGACCAATCGAGGGAGGACACGTGTCAAGAGATGGGAATTTTAGATGGATCCATTTAGCTTTTTTTATTTTTTATTTTTTTAGGGACTATTTGGGATGATTTAGATAAATATATTTTTGAAAAATTATTTATAAATCCTATTAGGGAGGCTTATGAGAAGTTTGTTGACACATTTACCCTCAACATTAATTGTTAATATCATAAATAATAGTAAAACCATATATAGGAAATTGAATGTTATCATATCTATATAAACGTAACGTAACGTGACACCTACATAAATGTAACGTGACACCTATAATCTATGGTAACTTGCAATTTCTTATATAGATCGTATCTACATAAACGTAATGTAACGTGACACCTACATAAACGTAACGTGACACCTATGATTTATGACAATATTCAATTTGAATGTTGCCATAGATCATATTTATATGAAACGTAACGTGATACCAACATAAACCAGTAACATTTTCACATTTAATTTTAAAAAATAAAAACTCATTAAGTTTGCGAAACGTAACGTGACACGTTACGTTACGTTTATGTAGGTGTCACGTTACGTTATGTTAGGTTATGTTACGTTACGTTACGTTTATATAGGTGTCACGTTACGTTATGTTTATGTAAGTGTCGTGTCACGTCACGTTACGTTTATGTAGAATCTTGTGGAATACATTCCTATCTAAATAGGACTTGAGACTCTATAAGAAATTACACAGGACTAAGCTTACCAAGTGTCTGAAAAAAGACTTATAAATAAGTCTCCCTATATTTTTTAATTTTTATAAAAAGATGTACAGAAAAATAAAGAGATGATATGACCTAAATAAATACATTTATATAAGTTATGTCAAACACCTCCTAAATTATAAATATATCTCTCGAAATTTGCTTAACAGACGAATTGTATGTTATATTTTAAAAAATTATAAATATTTCTATGTCAATTTTTTTTATTTAACAGAATTAAAAAAAATAAAATTTTTAACTACTCTCATTTGCAATAATAAAATTATATGAATTGATAATTGAAATATATTTATGATATTATTGAAAACTGTTAATTATCTTGATGATTTGTTAAAAGAATGAGCTATTTATTATGCGATTATAAATTTGAAGGGACGAAATATAATTTTCAAAAACTATAAAGAATAATTTGTATTTTAAACAACTATCAAGAAATTTATTTGTAATTTACCTTTTTTTCTTATTTTTTTTATAATTTATTTATTTATTTTGTTTGTAAATTTCTTTTAAAATGTGTCAAAAAACAAAAATAGAGAAATTACAACAAAAAAAAAATCTCAAGATTTGATTCTTGTAATAAAATAAACCTCAAAAATTTAATTTTATCAATTTGAATCTTAATTTTTTGATTTGATTTTCATCTAAACCATTTGTTAATTTTTGTTTAGTAAAACCGACGGAGAAAAATGTTTTTTAGTCATTATATTAAACAACAAGAGTATTTTAGACATTTTATATGCATCTACACTGGGTTTAAAAGCTAACAAATTATTGGCAAAAATGAATTTAAGTATTATGTGGATTTAAATCTCGAGAGAAACTGGTGTAATTATGTTAAAAGTGTGAAGTCAATTGTATTTTCTTCGAATCTCAACAAAAAGTGAATGTAATTTACCATTTTTATTTTTGAAATTTATTTTTTACATTTTTGAATCTTTCTAAATTAGAATGAAGTGAGTTTTAAAATTTTGAAACAAATTTTAAAAAAGTTTCATTAAAAACAAAATATTAAAAAAAAAAAGGAAAAAAAAAGAAAGGGAGAGACTTTCTTCCCATGCAGTTCCATCCCACTTTATACAATAATACTGTGACTCAAAATTTTTATCTAGAATTTTATTGATCTATGGCCCAAGTTTATTATATAGACCCTAAACAATATCAATTCAATTTCACTTTACATCCACAATTTCTCATAACACATAATATTTGAGTACACCTCTAAATTCTAATATACTAACGGTTGACATATTTGATGTGAGTACAATTTAAGTAAGTAAAATAAATATAAATGATAAAAAAAAAATTAATATTACAATATATGTGTTGCTCAAGTATTGAGAATTAGACATAACGTCAGCAAAATAGTTTTGGCCATGATTTTTTTTTATCAAATTTTAGTCAAAATAAAAGTATGATTCACACATCTTTTAAGTCAAATTCACATTAAAATGTCTTCATCTCAATATGTGGTTTAATAATTGAATATTTGTTTGCTCAAAATTATTAAAAAGTGGATAATAAATTGATTGGAAAAATCGTCATTTGATCTTAGTTGAAGGGTGACAATTAATCTAATATAATACATTCATTTCCTAAGAAAATCTAATCAACTAATATACTTTTTTTTCTTTTGACCTGAGTACGGACTTTGAGGGCATATAAAATAATAATTTTAGGGTAAATTATTAATAGATTTTAATAGTTAGATTTAATTCTCATCAAGTCCTATTGAAAATAAAATTTGATAAAATTGTCGCTAAAAATAATTTTTTTGTAATAATTTTTTACATACGTCGCTAAAAATTGACAATTAGTAACTTTTTTTTGTCATGATTTTTATAAATTTTACAATTAGTAACTTTTTTTATAACAAATTTTTTTCATAAGACCTATTAGACAATAAATTTACTTATTAAGACTTACACGTAAGTATCATAAATTTTATAGAAGAAAAAAGACTTAACGAAAATGGATTTGAACAACACGCACGTCCATGTTGCCCTTCCCCAAACATAGGTTGCGTTGATTAAGTTCTTGAATCAAAACCAGTCCAACCTTATACATGTGTATATATTTTTGAACAATTTATTTAATTTTTTTCTTTTAATCAAATTAGAATTTTGGTTAGGCCATGTCTATTTTGTGACACGTGACTATGGATGGTCTCATGGTTGCTCAAACACAATTTTAATTCTAACCATAACTACTCTTGTTATACTAATCACTAATGCCACTAAAATTTTATTTATTTATTTATTATTTTCGACAATGGACAACTTCATTCAATCACCTGTTATCCAGTACAAAATTTTATAAATAAACTTCAAATATATAAAATAATAGTACCAATTAAATTCAAGTATTTCTCTTGGCTTATTTTTCCTATGAAAGCAAATATCATAAATGTGAGCGTGCCAGTAAGGATTGAAAAATCTTTACGGATTAAATTTCTGTTAATTATCAAGCGATTGTATTGATGATTCTTTTGCCTCAATGAAGAGGACTTCAAAATTACCAAGTGTAGAGAAAAAAAAAATTAAAAGAAGAAGGAGAGGGACGAAGAAAGATGATTGAGTGAACAATTGGGTTGATTGAGTGAACAATCAAACTAACCATTAATTTACCTCTACTCCTATGCTTCAAAAAGAAAGTACATAAAATAAAGTATAGAAAATTTACCTCTACTCCTATGTTTCGAAAATTAAGTGCAGAAAATATAAATGACAAAAAAAATAAAAATCAATTGTTTTTATTTGAGTTCTAGATCTTTTACAATATAACTATGAATGGCAATTTATAGGCAAAGGTTTGTAGGAAAAAACTACCTAAAACTACTCACTCTTCCGTCTCCTCTATTTCATACACCACGATCTTTCATAACTTCCTTCAACCTCCACTTTATACTCCATGTTCTCTATTATCTTTTCACATTTTATAACTTTTCATAACTTCCAAATGAGTAGGAGAGTGATACATGTCCTGCAATTATATAAGTAATAAATAATAAAATTACAGATTATGGTGCCAACATTACCCTCCGCGGCCATTAAAAATGATGTTTACTTAAATTTTTGAAGGACCGAACCAAGCATATGACTAATCTAAGTAACAAAGTGTTTTGAATAATATCAATAAAGTGCTTCAAATGATATAATAACACCACTAAAGTGCTTCGAATGAGCATGAAATTATGACTAAATGTCTTGAATTATATATATTCCTTGAATTGATATTACATATATGTTTCGAACGACATCAATCCTTTGAAGGAAATTAAACAATGTTGTTTTACTCGTACTTTAAACACTTAGAAAACTTGAAATCTTTTGAAGTAGGTTGATGTTGCTTGCACTTAGAATAATTCAAAACCTCATATTTTCATGATTCATCTTAACAAGCTGTTACACACGCTAGCTATCATGGACTAATAACAAGCTTCGAAGGTGGTATAAAGAACCAAAAATCACCCTTTTATGATCAAAGTGTTTATAAATGACCAAATTTATCATTCGAACGTCTTGCGGCAAAGCTTCGAATGATTAAAATCAGCCTTGGAGGTTGGAGACATTGATATAGTACGAACGTCATCTTTTGAAGATACTTACAATGAAGTTTCAAGAAGCCAAAGCCTCCTTTCAAAGGTCAAGGGTGATGCTAGATGAACAAACTTTGCTTCAAAAATGTCACCACACTTTAACAAAAGCTTCAAGGGAGACCTTTAGAGCTTCAAATGTGTTTTTTCAAAGCTAACATGTGTTCTTCATGGATGCAATGCATCATATGTCATGAAACTTTATGTTTGCATGCAACCCCAAATAATCATACACTCACAAATTCATTATAGGCCAAGTTAGGAACACTTAGCCAATCTATTTACATAAACATATGTCTAGGAATATAGACATGTGACCTTTGAAGTGTAAACTACAAACAATTTTGTATGTAAATTTTTTTTTTTGGGTGGCCACTAATAGTAATGGACCAATATCATATTCAGAGGAGTCAATAACATACGAAAATCATGCTTCGAAGAAGTCAATAGCGGGCCAAAATCATGCTTCAAAGGCACCCGTGGCGTGCTTCATAGGCCTATGAAGCTTCAAAGCCATTTTAAGGCCATATAAGAAGACTAAAATACTAAAAAATGTGGCTTCAATACGAAGAAGAAAAAAAAATCATTAATATTGACATTGATTAGTAA